CCCCATGCTGGAACAGGATGACTGAAAGAAAGCTGTGTTAAGAAGCCCACACTGGAACAGGCTCCTGGCAGGTACCTGTGGATGAGTGGAGAGAGGAGCCAACACTAGAGCAGGTTTACTGGTAGAACTTGGGAAACATGCCAGAGCAGTCTCTTCCTAGGTGCTGGAGATTCCCCACAGGCTGTGGTGAAGACCATGGTGAGACAGGCTGTCCCTTGCAGCCCATGGAGCTCCATGGGGGTGCAGGTTCACCTGCAGCCCAAGAAGGAGCCCCATGCTGGAACAGGATGACTGAAAGAAAGCTGTGTTAAGAAGCCCACACTGGAACAGGCTCCTGGCAGGTACCTGTGGATGAGTGGAGAGAGGAGCCAACACTACAGGCTGTGGTGAAGACCATGGTGAGACAGGCTGTCCCTTGCAGCCCATGGAGCTCCATGGGGGTGCAGGTTCACCTGCAGCCCAAGAAGGAGCCCCATGCTGGAACAGGATGACTGAAAGAAAGCTGTGTTAAGAAGCCCACACTGGAACAGGCTCCTGGCAGGTACCTGTGGATGAGTGGAGAGAGGAGCCAACACTAGAGCAGGTTTACTGGTAGAACTTGGGAAACATGCCAGAGCAGTCTCTTCCTGAAGGACTGTACCCCGTGGAAGGGACCCACACTGGAGCAATTCATGAAGAACTGTAGCCCATGGGGAAGACTCATATTGGAGAAGTTCATGGGGGACTCTCCCATGGTAGACAGTCACTGGAGATGCTAGAGCAGGGGAAGGACTCCTCTCACTGTGCTGCTTGTGGGAGGAGGTAGAGCCCAGGACGGAAGAGGCAGAGGGAGAGGTGTTTTTAAGATTTGGTTTACTTCTCATTATCTCATTATTCTCATTATCATTGGTCTCTTCTGCCATGCCTGAAGTGAGAGGAGTAGAGGGAATGGCCATAAGATGAGATAGGGAAAATTCACTAGGAAAAATGTTTTCCCTTTTAAGGGTGTTCAGGCAGTGGAATAGATTGCCCAGGGAGGTGGTGGAGTCACCATCCCTGGAGGTGTTGAAGAGGTGTCTGGATCTGACACTGGAGGATGTGGTTTAGGGTTTAGAGGTTCCAGCAGTGACAGGTTAATGGTTGGACTGGATGATCTTAGAGGTCTCCTCCGACCTTGATGATTCTATGATCCTCCTCTGATATTAATGGGCAATAAATTAGGTTAATTTCCCCAAGTTGTATCTTTTTTGCTCATTACATTAATCAGCAAGTGACCTCTCCCCTTCCTTATCTCAACTCATGAGCCTTTTGCTGTATTTTCACTCCCCTGTGCAGGTGCAGAGGGCAGTGATAGAGTGGCTTTGGTGGGTACCTGGTGTCTAACCCATGACAACTGACATATTTATAAAGGATCTCTTCAAATATATGCTGCCTGCACCAACATGAAACAATCTGAGATCTGCTTCATCATTTAAAAGCAATGAAATCAGTACATATTGTGTGCTACCAGCTGTTTTACTGAAATAAACTACTGCATTGCATACACAGCCTCTTCAACATCAGCTGAACAAAATGGTCAGAAAAGTCACTTTTACCAAAGTGAAAATTTTGAAAGGCAAAAAGCAAAGAGAACCCCAATAACCCCCAACCAAACCCCAACCCTTCCTACAAGCCTAGGCAAACCAACCCAAACTAAAGTAGCAGCAAGCAAGAGAAAAATCTTAATTTTCAGTGATTTGCTAGTAGAAACTGTTTTCCTTTAGTACCTATGCAAATGGAGTTTTTTACTGTCCTCAGATACTACAAATGGATTCAAAAACTGCTGAGTAATTTAGTAGTTTGCTCACTGGATTGTAGCCAAAAAGAGCTGCACCTGCTCCTCCCTCAACTTAAAAAGGGCATTCACATCCTTCCATCTTCAAGAACATCATTGAATCAGCACTCTGAACTTGCATGGTTATGGCAACTAAAAGGCAACACAAGGGATACAAATGTGGTCTCCAGGCACTAGGAACAGTAGCTTTAAGCACTTCATGTCAAAACTGTTAATTTTCTATTTTATTTCTTCTTTTTCATTCACTGCCAAACCACTTCTTGGGTGAATCCATGGTTCCTGTGTCTTTTATGTGAAATGTAGGCAGATTCAAACGATGGTTTTAACCACAACTTGAACAAAAAAATAAAGCCTCTGCACTTCACATTGATTTGAAGACTTCTATTTTGTGCTGTAGATTCTTTGGAGGATAGTGACTTGAAGACTTTTATTTTGTGCTGTAGATTCTTTGGAGGAAGAGGAGAAAAACCACAGTGACAAAATGATACATGTGGAATGTCACTTCATTTTATTTCTAATCCTTAAAAAAATTACAAAATTAGTGCAACTTTTCTGTACCTGAGACTGTACAAAGAAGAAACGTTTCTGTGACACTTCAGAAATCATTTTGGCCTACAAGTGAAAAACTTAACTTCTGTAACTTGTGTTGCAACACGTCCCCAGGACCACAAGCTTCCACAGATTTCTCAACTGGATTATTTAATTCCTATTTAGCTAATATGGAGAACTATTTTTGAAAATAAACCAAAAAGATTCGTTCGCAGGGGAAAGCACATTTTTCACCTAGGTATAAACCAGTGAAGTTGTGAAGTTTTTATAACCAATATTCAGGCAGCTGTATATGCTGGTACAGGTGTTTACAGAAGTCAGATTTAATCAGTGCAGCAACTTAGAAGGGTAAATGTTATGTTACCTCATATAACTAACAAGTACAGGAATAATTACTAAATCTTTCATGTATGTTACTTTTTGAAGCTTTGTTCATATCTTTTTAGCATCATAGAATCATCAAGGTTGGAGGAGACCTCTAAGATCATCAAGTCCAACCATTAACCTGTCACTGCTGGAACTCCTAAACCCTAAACCAGATCCTCCAGTGTCAGATCCAGATGCTTCTTCCCAGGGATGGTGACTCCACCACCTCCCTGAGCAATATCCCAGTGCCTCAACACCCTCACAGGGAAAACATTTCTCCTAACATCTAATCTGACTCTCCCCTATCTCAGCTTATGACCATTCCCTCTAGTCCTCTCCCTGCAGCCATGGCAGGACACACATCCCACACCTCTCTCCAACCCCCTTTCCTTCACCCCTTGCTATAGTTGCAAAGCAGAAGTCCCTGACTTATAGAAGGGTGGGTTTTAGGTAAAAAAATAGTAATTTAAAAGATGGATAAATAGAAAGAAAAGAGGAAATTTAGGGCAATAATGTTTTGGGGCATCTACCAAGCAAGACAAAAGAAGGTAAGACACTTCAAAATGCCTCCAGGTCTTAGGGAGAAATGAAACACAGATAATTATAATAAAGAACTGTGAGGTTATGTACAGAAATCACAGCAGTAGTAAGACACTGATTGTGTTAATATATAAAATTCAACCAATTCAGAGTTCTATATATATGTTCCCATACTGCTGCCACTGGAATCACAAAGGTTTCAACAGGTATTTGAATACTAGCCAGGCACTGGAAAAAGTGAATAAGCAAATGAACATGAAAAAATGCCAAACACCATCCATGACTCACCTGAAGCAGCAGCACTGCACAGATGTGTTCAAGAAGATAACTACAATGGCTTTAATCCAAAAAAAATAACCCAACCCAATTATTATACTCAGTCAACTTTGTACTTCCATCAAATAATATTAGGAAGAGCATATGGAACCTTGTCAGTGCAAAATACATTTTTCCTGTGTTTCAGATGAAATACAAACAGTGTTGACTGACAAGTAATACGAGCTTGAGCAGTAAACAGCACAGGAGAGTGCTACGACTAAAATAACAACAAAACAGGTTTTCTCTTGTCACTGAGATGTCACTTATGCCTGAGATGAGAGAACATGCATTAATCCAGATCCATGAACTACTGCTAGTTGCTCCAGCACACCTTTAGCAGTCATTCAAAAGAATTAAGAAGGAAATTTATTCTTAAAATGAAGGTAGAAAAATTGCACAGGAAATATTAACAACTAGTGTATGACAAAGTTGGTCAGTAAAAGTAATTACTAAACAGAAACCACGAGTTCAAGTTTCAATAAAACTTACATTCTGCCTCAGCTTCAGTCTGAACGGCCTCATATTATTCCTAAAATTGCCAATTTTAGGTCTTGTAATACATGAAGTTAGCATATTCCCAATTCTGTTGCCTGGCAAAGACCAGGAATAAGCAGGGGTTAGACTGAGTACCCCAAAGTGCCTAATCATGCTGTGCAACAAGTTTTGCAGACAAAATATACTTCACAAAATCACAAAAGCAAACACACTGTTAACTGAGCTACTGTCCCAGCAGACAAATGGCAACAGAGCACAGCATAAGAAATTAAGGATAACATGCACATTGCAAATTCTCCTGACTAAATAACAAAAATGCACCTTTGATTAAATCATAAGAATCAATTTCTATCTTTTAACAATCAATCTAAACACTGATTCAAATATAAGCTACAAGGCAGGATTTGTGCATTTCATGACATTCTTGTTCTTCCCTTTAAAAAGGTTAAAATTCAATTAAAAAAAAAAAATCACATCCAGGACAATATAGCAACACCTGTCCCTCTTACAAGTGTTCTAGTGGCACCAGTTAGAATAATATTTGTCTTGAGTTAACCTCCCAGCAGCAGAAATATTTATATGTACTGGCCTCCAGGTGAACATAATGTGCCCTTTTAAAAGATCACCTTGCTACTGTATAAGCTTGGCCGGTGAAGATACATCTATACAATCCACAATTGTGGCTACTGACTTTTTAACTTCACCTTTTAACATCTTGCTACTGTATAAGCTTGGCAGGTGAAGATACATCTATACAATCCACCATTGTGGCTACTGACTTTTTAACTTCACATTTCCATGACTACAATATTTCTGTTTGTTTGCATTCATTATCAAAATAGCACCTAAAGCTAGTCCAACAGCTAGACTTGGAGGGCCACAAGGACTGAACTCCTGAGCAATTCCAGAAAGGTCTTGCTACTGTATAAGCTTGGCAGGTGAAGATACATCTATACAATCCACCATTGTGGCTACTGACTTTTTAACTTCACATTTCCATGACTACAATATTTCTGTTTGTTTGCATTCATTATCAAAATAGCACCTAAAGCTAGTCCAACAGCTAGACTTGGAGGGCCACAAGGACTGAACTCCTGAGCAATTCCAGAAAGGAGTGGGGCAAGTATCCGTCCCACTGATGTCACAGACTGTCCAACACCTAGGAGAGTACCACTGGCCTCATTCCCACCAATGGTCAGCTCAAGATCAATGATACAAGTACGACCAATAGTAGTTGAAAAGGCTAAGAAGGTGGAAGACAAAATGACCATCCATATGCTCAGGGCTGACGTGTACAGGAGGATCAGAGTGCAGGTAAAAGTGCTGGAGTGCAACAAAAGTCTGTAAGTGTTGTGCCCATAGAGTCTTGTTATTGGTCCAAGCAGACACCCAGCCAGGACTCCAAGTGCACTGCTGTAACTCATCAGGTATCCAGCAAACAAGGGTTTCACCCCAAATCTTTCCTCCAAGGCCAGTGTAAAATTACTATGGTACAGCAGAATAGCAACAGACATCAGCAACCTCACTAAAAATATATCCCACAAATTAGAGCAGGCAATTCCTTTGATCCTCTTCAGCACTGTTGCAACTTGGCTCCACAGAGACTGGAAAAGACTAGTGCTTGCCACAGCTCCATCACTTGCTGATTTCAAGTGCAGGTCATGACTTTTTTGTGCTGAGAAACTGTTTTTTCCTTTGTCTTGGTGATGTTGCCTATTGCCGGTGTGTTCTTCACTCCAGGGTAACATCCAAACAAGACCTGCAGAGATCAAGACATTACTTGATTTCATTCAATGCATGAACTTTACATGAAAGACATTAGTTTGACTATAACAATTTACTTAAAGATCAAAATTTAAAAAAGGACTTCAACAATTATTTCGCTTTAAAAAATGAGAAATATTAAGTCTACTGTTATTCACAGTATCAGTTCAATTTTAAATGCAATGAAAACCAGAAAGGAAAACACTGAGATGCCACAGTTACACCATATAAACAAATCTAAAGGTTAAAGCCAAAATTCTGAATTTTAGTCCTCACCTTTGGGAACATGAAAAATTCCCATTTGTGTCTGAAGGAATATATGCAAAACAAAGGAAAAGCACCTGGAGGTTTCAAAATTCCCACCTTTCCACACAGGTTCAAATTCTGATAGTAGAACATAGAATCACGGAATTTTAGGGGTTGGAATGGACCTTAAAGATCATCTAGTCCCAACCCTCTGCCCTGGGCAGGGACACCTCTCACCAGAGCAGGTTCCTCAAGGCTTCATCCAACCTGGCTGTGAACACTGCCAGGGTTGGGGCATCTACTGCCTCCCTGGGCAACCTGTGCCAGTGTCTCACCACCCTCACAGGAAGAAAAACCCTTTCCTAACATCTAACCTAAATTTCCCCTCAGTATGTATGCTATAGGTGATAAACACACTATGAATTCAAGGTATTACAGATGGCAGAACAACACAAAAGTGTGGCAGGAAGGGACCCAAAATACAAAATATGCTATACAACTTACCACCATTCAGAAGGAAGATTGAGGCACAGATGAAGGACGTTTGGTAAAAGCCACCTTCTAGCTCTGCAAGGTAGCCACCAACAACAGGCCCCAGGATGAAGCCCACGCTCGAGGCTGCATTGAAGCGTCCCATGACTAAAGGACGATCTCTCTCTGAAACCAGGTCAGACAGCAGAGCTTTGGAGATGGAGAGTGTGTGCTTGAAAATACCTGCAACACCATATAGACAAAATAATAAACATGCATTGCTCAGTCCAAAAGATCATAGAATCAACCAGGTTGGA